ATTATGTGACAGTGTCAGCATGGTTATTGTCACTCAATCTATGGCAATTGTCAGTCGGTCCTTCAGAGTTCACAGTTCCTTGTGATGAACAACGTTTGTCGGCTGAGGAGTGTATTTGAGCAGCAAATTGAATCTTCAGTAACCAGTCTCTCCTGGAATTCCCTTGCAACAATTATTGGGCTACAGACGGTGTTGTGGGGACAAGTCCATGCAGGTCAAACCAACCCTTATCACACATTTCACCCCCTACTGCATCAGGGACTAGGATTGGTGAGTCATGGTAATAGTAGGAGTTGTAGAGACTGTGGAGATGGTTCTGACGAGTCGAAGATCGTCCGATTTGGTGGAGTGGTTGAGGAGATATGACTTGTTCTTTAGTTTCCTTACTATTTCCATTCATTCACGCATGTGACTTTCCTTTTATATTTGTATCGGACTCTTCCATGACAACTGTACAGACAGTTAGTTAAAGATTAGACAGAGTATCAGCACTGTACTCAAAAGGACCATCCTACTTGAGAGATAGAGAGAGACCTACCCCCCCAGACCTGAGCCACGAGTCTAGTTGGATAGACCCATTACAACGGTTCAGCCATACAAGACCTGGGTCCTTTGGTGTCCAGTGTTGTAGTGGGTCCCTCATCCCTGTCACTTCACATTACTGGCCTCAATGCTTCCAGCCTTGATGCAGAAGTATTGGCTCTAGTAATGGCCACCATTTTATCTCATCTGTCATATCCCGGAATCCTGACCCTGTACTCTCCCACCTCATCACACCTTCCTAACAACCTCATCATCCCCTACACCATAACTCCCCACCTCCCAAGTCACCTTCCTTCCCAACTGTCTCAGCTCCGGCCTGGTTTGCAGCACACTTTACCTTGGCCACTCCCATCCCAGAAGCTTGGTCCTGAGTTGGAACATTCAGAGACTCTGGATTTGCTCCGACCTCATGATGGATCTCCGACATCCCATGACATACTGTCAGGGACTGCATGTCAGTTCACAACGAAGAGGGTGTTCCTGAGAATCCTAGTCATTGTTAACACTGAGGTGCCACCCTCAGTGGAGATAGGGGTTATATACATGGGTACCGCTACCCACTAGAGTGTGGCTACAATGAGATAAGAAATAACCGGTAGAATGATGACATGAAAAGATAGATATTCATTTGGATAATCGTAAGCGAGGTGTGGGAAAGGGGTGACATGTGGATGGAAGATAGAAGCGGGACACTAAGCAAGAGCTAAGCGAAATTACCTGCATTCTTCAGATCACTCCAGATCGTCTTATGGCAACTCCCTTCCGGCATAGGGAGTCAGGGTAGCTGGTTAGGCTGTGCCCTGACACATACCTCTAAACCATTCCCCCTCCCATTTCATTTATTGGAGTCACCCAACATCCTTTGGATATGTAACTCCACCTTCGGTGCTACCTGCATCCTCTGGTGACCCCACTCACGTCATCACAAATTAGTCACCTTCCATTTATAGTATGACTGTTGTCTTCTTTCCATTCAGTCAGCTAACCTCCTCTTACCCATTTCTCGTTCCCATTCATCCTCCAGCCTTCTACTCCGCCCTCCTCGACCCGACACCCCGGTTCCCCGTTAAGGATATCATTCAGCACCTTTCAGTGTTTGTCAGTATCACTCGGACTTTGACTAAAGTCCTTCTCTTCCTCCTTCTATATATACCTGTAGATTAGAACTCTTTGTACCTCGGTTCTAATCTCGACTAAAAGTTACCCCCAAGCCCCTCTATGAGTGAATCCTGACCCCCCTCCTACAAGATACCTCTGACACATGAAATAAATGGACTAACTGAGATGTAACAGAGGCACAGTGCTCCCTCCAAGTCACTGAGGCCACATCCTTCTTAGAGCCTCTTGTACCACCCAGCAGACTTGGGCTTCCTGGAGAAGCTTCAATCCACTACCGGAGCTCTTGGAACCCCTCTAGTTGAGCCCCACCTGCATTCGGACTCATGCCCTCTTTCGGGGTTTTTGACATCATCAAACTTCAGATAATGTTGTAATATTCTCAGACCACCTACACTCTGTTCAGCTGATCCAAGATCTCCATTCAGGCACTCTCCCTCCAAATTTCTGGTCTTATAAACCGGTGTTGGGGGGGGGGAACGAAGGAAGGTCAGTTGGGAGGTTCAAACGAGACCACCACCAAGCTGTTCCCTGGTTCTTTAGTTAGGATGGGGAAGTGTACTACTTAAATTCATTGTAATTATAGTACCAATCCGAGTGTTTTGGCTAATATTATTTTATGGGTTAGTCTAAAGTTTCTGAGAATTGACTTACAGGTGAACAAAGCCCTGTGGAGCTGTTCCTCTATTGTAATTTCTCAATTTGTCTGGGTGTAATTCTGTGTAGGATCGTTTAATTTGGATTTTAACTTGAATTAAATCTTCTACTTGGTGAATTTTCAAAGATTCTACTCAGTTAATGGGTTTAGATTGTGTCTGAAGTGTCCCTTGACCTTGTCTTATTTTTGTGTTATTTTTATTGCTTGTTTTAACAGTAGCAAAATAACTGTTTTGTGTTTACACTTTGAAATCTGGAGTGTTAACCAGCTCTCCTGTTGAAATATTTACTTAATATTCCTCTCCCTATTTGCTGCCTTTTACTACAGTGGCAATCTTATCTGTATATCACTTTTTTGCACTGGAGTGATAACCAGAAATGCTTGAGAAAAATAATAATCTATTTTCTTACTTCTCTGAGGGGGGCAAAAAGTCGCAGAAAGGGTCTCCCTTTTATACTCCTTGGGTTGCCTTCCTTTTTCATGCTCTACCTCGTATTTACAGGATTTATTTACAGTGTATTTTCCTCAAACTGAATAAAAATGAAATTTTCACGCTATAGTTCTACTGCAGTCAGACTGCACCTAGAATCCTTATTGTCCTTCCTTGCCTAAGCTATTTTAATGGTTTAATTAGAACTTGACTGTGCTGCATTTGTCGCAGTGTCAAATTCCTCTTATTTACCATTTAGTTTGCTATGACTCAGTCATTCTGAACTCAAACTTCACATTACTGCATGTACGGCTGTGCTGAGACCTTCAGCTGATTTATTCTATTTTTATCTGGTGACATTTAGTTGAAATGAGACTTGAAATGATAAATGAGTGGATTATTCAGGTTTAGAACTGAAAGAAAAAGTTGCTAGTAGTCAAGAATTGATCAAATGAATGTGTTATAGCTCTCTGCTTCATTAGTACTGTATATCGTTCCCTAAAATTCCTGCCATGGTCCATCATAGTTTAGTGGATTTCATGGATTTTGTCCATCTCCCCTGATTGCCCTTTGTATTATTGCATCCCAGTCCTTCATATGTATTGCCCGTTGTTATAATAGGTCGTCCTCAAGATATCATATTTTTATGTATTTTATTTGGGGCTTGGGACCTCTAGAAGCTGTCTTCCTGCACGTATTCAGATTACTAGCTTCATGTCTTTGTATCTCATTCATTTCTGAATGGTTTTTCACGTTCTCGGCATCATAAATTTCCATTTATTCCCACCTTTCCAATGGTACTAAAGTTGTACTCTATTTCTTGGTATTTGTCGAGTTAGCAAAAGTTCGCACACACATTCAGTAATCACATGTGTTGTTCTCATACTCATTTGTATGCGGGTGCCATTTCTGTTTAATTGTTCGGAATTTATTGTATGCGCAGGTGTTTGTATCCTCAATATGGGCTTCCATGATTTATTTCAGATTTTTCCCTCATGATCTAAGGTGGTTTTGTACTTTCCGTGCTTTGTTTTGAGCGGGGTCTTCCTTATTTGGACAGAAATTGGTCTTCACCATCTGCTGAAGTGCGGATCTTGGTTCCGACCTCACATGTCTTTAAGCATGATGTGGATTTCTATATTCCTGTCATTGGTGTAACTTCGCAACAGCTGGACCGTTTGGGCTGAAACTTTGCATAACTATAGTTTCCGATTTATCATAATTTCCGTGTAAATTTCGTTGTGTGTTTTAAATATGGATCCTATGTGAACGTCGTCTTTTCCCTGAGCCATGTCTTTGATGTCACTCATCCCGTTAATGAATATCTCATTGATGCGTGAACCTTTTATTATGAAAATTTGGGTGGATTAAGAATAGATCCCTTCCCTTCTAATGGGCCGTCAAGCTCGTCTTGGTCGTTACTGCTTGTTCTTCATGCTTTCCTTTTAAACGTTGTCCTCGTTTTCTGAGAGTTTTGGTCATATCTCTGTCATCTATTGGTAGTTTTCCCTGAAATTACATTCATTGGGTCCGTTTGGGGACATCTACATTCCCTATTATAAACACGACTTTTAATTTTTCATTGGTTCCTAAGGAATCCTTGTTCAGTGGTACTTCCAGCCTCGGCTATGTGTGTGGGTGTTGTCATATCCATCCCCAGCCATCGACTTCCGGTCCCTCCGATCCCTCCGGTCTAACTCCGCTCCTTCCTCACTAACCTCGGAGCTCCCGTATTCCGCAACCCTCTCGGTACCCCTTGATGGTCACCACCCCCTCATTTCAATTTATTACCTATGCCTCCCTAAGTATGGAGCCCCAAAGACTTCCGGACAGCTCCGACATCCGCTAGCGCACTCCTGCCTCCACTGGGCAATACACTCACCTGCCCTGCAGAGCCCACCTTCGGGCCTATCCCTCCTTTCTGTTTCTGGGTTATCGCCTGCCTTTCCGCTAACCCCGCGACCTGACTTGTCGGTAATATTCAGTCGGCTAATGTTTAACCCTGTTAGCTCCGCTCCGTTCGGCTCCACCAATTGCGGACCCGTCTTCGCTGTAACCATATATATCCAACTTGTACATAGGTTACACTCCAGTAATAAAATCAACTAGAGTTACCCCCCCTTCGGTTCTGATTGCCAGTCAGTAAGTTAGGGCACGGACGTTGTAACGGGTCTATCGCCTAGACTCGAGACAGAGAGAAGGGGGAGGGTGGTAGTGTGCGCGGGTGTGGTTCGTTGGGCCGGGTTTTGGTCCATGGGTGCTACTGAGTCTGCAAAAACCTCAAACAAACACTCACCTACGTCTCTCTTGGACGTCAAGGCTGAGTATTATGATGTGAGGGGTCTTAGACGTGAGCAACTAGCTCAGAGGGGGCGTTAGGGTCGTGGATGGTGTCTTTGCCACTTGGATGCAACTTCTGCTTGTCCCTTCACGGGTCTATTCAATACTAACTTGTTATGTACAAGCTGTTATCTAGTTTATATATGTTGGAAATGAAATGAATGGACTGGGGGAATGTAAACGGGCCGTTAGGCAACCGTAAATGATGAATATCCAATTGGGAACAAAGAAACAATAAAAGAAATATGAGTGAATGGGGAAAATGTGACAACGGGTCCGAAATGGGAATTGTGAAGATTAACTCCGCAACAGTTCGCCACAGCACCCTCCTATCCTCCCGTCAGCAACCTCCTCGTCTCCAGCTTTCCAACGAGCCCTTATTCATCCCATTTGGTGCAGTGGTTCTTGAGATGTGGAGAGGGGGTGAAATTGGCGGCATGGTTGGGCGTGGGAATTTTGCTTGGGGTTGTCGGGAATGATGGGGAAAATAGGGAAAAATAAGGAATGAGTTTGTGGAGTGTTGGATAGTGATAGAATGAACATCGGGAGCGTCAGAGGGTATGTGGTATATGTTGGTGGCCAAATTCCGCAGAATCCGACTTTTTGCGGTACACGGAGTTGTCCCCACAACAACGTGTCACTAGGCACAGCGCTCTTGGCAGAAGTCGCTGAGGCTGAAGCCCTCCACTATGGAGACTCTCCCTTGTCTCGAATCTGGTCTCTGACAGGTGTGTGAAAGTAGTTTCCATGGAGGTTCTCTGGTTGGTTTTATAGTCAAATCTTGCTCGATTGTCCTAGTTCCTTCTTCAATATTCGCTATAAATTCTCCCAAGCATTCCATCTTGTTGGTGCTAAGCTTGAAGTATTTTTATTAATTTTCTTTCTTCCAATTTATTGTATGTAGTCGTAATAATTCGTAAAAACTCGTTAAAATTCAGGTTCCTTTATTTTCTGATATCTACTTGTTGTATGGGGTTTTTTGTGGTTTATCTGACATATTTCCATAATGAGTTTTCATTGGGTGACCATTATTTCTCCTACAGCGTGCTTGTGGGATCATTGGCTAGAACAGGTGTTGAGTAATCTGGATGTCATTGTTCATCATGTGAAGGCTCACTCTGCCAATGCGGATGTTGCATCAAGGCTAAATACAGCAGCTGATCAATTGGTGTCAAGGCATACCCCACCTGACCCCATGCCACATCCCACACTGCCCTGCCCTACTCCACTCCCCCTTCTATCACTCCCTGTTCCTTCTTTCCTGTTCCTTCTTCCTCTCTATCTCTGTTCTACAGTCGACTCTATGTATCACTACACACCTAATGCCACTCCCCCAATCGCTGCACCTGCCATGCACATTTCCACCCACACAGCGGCACACTTCCAGGATCTCCCACAGAGACACCCAGAGAGGTGCAGCTGTGTGTGGAGATGACGTGACTCCCTCCATGTGACCTTAACCACATATATATAATAGTGCCTGGGGTGGGAACAGAAGAAGCAGCCTTCTTCTCAATTTCCCACTTCTGTCATATCCATACAATCCCGACCTCCGCTCCGGGCTCCTGGAACTCCGAACTCCGACTTCCGGAGCCCTACTTCCCTTCCGTCACTCTCCTTGCCGACTCCCAAGAGGTTATCCCACCTCCGGCTCGGACACCACCTTTGGTCCGACTCCGGACCATTCCGGGTCTGACCCCAACCTCAACACCTTCCAGATGAGTACGCAAAACCTATGCTCCCGACTCCGGACCTCCACTCCGGAATCCCGTTTGCGTCTCCGTCTCCGGAACCTCCGGTCTTAGCTCCGACCTCGGACTTTGACCCCACCTCCGCTTATACCCATTGTATTGGTTAGCTCATTCCATTTAATTACCTTTGCCAATATTCCGGAGTTTAACTTCCGAGTTCGGACTTTCCGGACTTACCTCGGACCTTGCAACTATTGCATTGTCCTATTCAATCCCGCTACTCTCCTTCATTCCTATTTGGGCTGCTGCTTCCTTTCTATTCAGTCAGCTAGCCATTCCCCACTCCCAACCTCCTTCCTTCCTCCTTGGGCCTTGGCCCTTCATTCCTCCTTTGGGAAACACCATTGAGTCAAACCCTTGACCCTCGGTGTTGTTCCTCTTTCCATCTCCCTTTGTCTCCTTTCGTCCTACCCTTGTTCCTTTTGATTCCGGACCCCTCCTTATATACAATGTACCTAGTAACTTGTAACCTCAGTCCGAAATCGACATGAATTCCCCCAAGAGACTTTCCCTCTGCTAGATCCGAAATTAGGGACCCCTAGGACAACCAGCAATGGCACAGCGCTCCGCCTGAGTCGCTGAGGCCGAGGTCCTTCCATGCTAAGTCTCCGATTCCATTCCGGAGTCGTCTGAATCCGCACATTCTAACAACTTCAGACCAAGTGGTTGGGGATGCTCACCCCACAACAGGACCGCCACTATGCATAGCTGACACTTGTCCCATCAAGTCCCTTGTGCTGGGACTTTGCCACTTTCCAAGCTGTCCCTGACAGCAGAAGAAGGCTTTAACCTCATTTCCCCTGCCTCCCCTATCTCTCCTGCTATGGTGACTGAAGAGCAGTACGATGATGTCAGGGGATGACTCCCAGGTCCCCATGACCCTCCCCTATGGCCCAAAGCCTCAGGTCTGGCCAGCCCTATCCAGGGCACAATCTACTGTGGGTAAGGAGATGTATAGATAAAGGCAATGTAGAATACACTTGCCTACTGTGGGTAAGGAGATGAGAAGGAAGCTAACTTCTCATCTTCCCACAGTGGCCACAATATCAGCAAAACTTCCGGGGATACCCAGAAGTCACATGAAGGGGTAGGAACTGGGCCCGGAGCATGTGGTGTGCAGAGCGTGCACGCATGCGGGAAGCGCAGCAGGTGGAAGCGGGTCCAGACACGGGTCCAGGTCCGGGCTAGTCAGGGTGTGTGCCCTGACAGATGAGCTGCTGTCCCAATTCCAAGAGCTGCAGGCCATCATGGAGAGCCAAGCCCAGAACCAACCCCCAGCTGCACCCACACCGGTGCCAGCACTGTAGGAGTGCATAACAGGTGTGCTCAATTTCATGGAACCTTATGCAGCAAATACGTCAAAATTGGGCTCCTGCCCTTGACATTATTAGGAACAAGGAATTATAGGGGGAGTAATAAGAAAGAAGAAAGAGGGTTTCGTACGAACCGGAAGAGCCTTTCTGCAAAGGAATTGGTTGAGATTTGGTGGAGAAATTCAACCTGAGATGTCCTCATGTGCAAAGTCCATGCACTTGACCATGACCATGGGAACAAGGTCAAAAGTTGATGGAAGAGGACAATCTTGGAGTCATTAAATCCAGAAAAACTCAGTGTTGAATTTCACCCTAATCGGTTCAGTGGTTGTGGAGATATTCTGATTATCAGGCATGATGGGAGTCATGGGATGATATGAACTATGCAGATGCTCACATGCAAGCTAGTCTCAGTAAAATTCCGAGAGAATATGTGTTATAAAAATGAGGCCTAATTGGCCCATTTCTATAGCGTTCAGGTGCAGGAGGGAGCCATGACGTTGAGAAGATGTTACAGTTAATGTAACAGGTGTTGTAACAGTTGAGTTTACAGTAACATGAACATGGGGTTTTTGGGTAGTAATAGTTGGTTAGGTTCTTATTATATACATGTCACGTGATATTGTACTGCATAGAGCCCATAAGAGGCTAAAAATGGGAAACTCCCATTTCCATAACAATATGGGCTAGTTAAATGATATAAATGCTAAAGAAGTCATTGGAGGAGTCTTGGAATTATTTGGTCCAAGTTTCCCTGTGCACAGATAATCAAGATATGTATTTGTCAGGGCACACCTGCCTGACCCACCTCCACCTCACCTGGTACCTCCTTTTCCTCCCCCTTGTCAAAGACACAGCAAGGAGGGGCAGTGTCCCTGGACAAGGAGGCTGGAGGTAGAGAATGGGCAGGAGGACCATGGCCTCAGCGACTCAGAGAGGAGTGCTGTGCCTATGTTCGGTAACGCTTAAGAGTTTGGTCCTTAACTTCAGAACGAGGGGCATGAACTCTGGGGGATAGTCTTGTTGATTTTGCACTGAGGTGCCATCAACTACAGTACAGGACTTATATACATAATAGAAGACAAATGAGAACACCCAAGAGAGACTTAGGGAGTTTGGTGTCTGGCACTAGGTCTATTGTGTGGTCCCAGGGCTTCCACAGGGGTAGCTGGTTGAAGGCCTCCTTTGAGAATATGTCTCAGAAGTCCTGGTACCGTTGTTCTGGGACTAGCATCTCAAATGGCACAGGCTCCACCTCTAGTTCATGGGCTTCCTGGGCCATCCACTGAGATGGTGTTGTGGTTGCTCTCAGTTTGTGTCCCTACCCTGGAGGGATGATAGAGGCATAAATCCTGTCCCCAGGTTCCACTGCAGGGTCTGGGTCAGCATGTCCTTGCATTGCAAGTGGGAGCAGAGAGCAAAACTCTGAAGATGGTAGGAAAGCACTCTCACTCACTCCCCAAAGGATTAGGGAAAAAGTAGGTGCTAGGGGTGTCATGATTGACAGGTCCATGAAATCAACTAGGGGGAGAACTCAAGGTAACACTATGTAATCTTCAATTTCTTGTTGTGGTGGATTTCCCTAAGGGCCTCTGTTGCCCTTACCAGTCGAGTGGCTGCCCACAACACACTAAGTACACAGACTTCAAAAATGGAGGGAGAGGGGGGAATTGTCTATTCCGTTTCAATTGCTATGTACATATACCCATACAGCAAACATACAACTTGTGAAAAGAGTCTGAAATATATGGGTTTGGCTGAGCTAAGCCTCCACCAACAACAGCGGTAAGGTTTGGCTGCCGTTGGCTTAGAATAAAATTCCAATCAACAAAAGAAAATGAAAAGAAAAACACAAACTTCCTCATATCACTCCAAACACTGCATCAAAACTCCATCCCTTTATTCCATTCTGTCATAGCCATCACCCTCCACTCCCTCCGCTCCTTCCAGATCACCTCCGCTCCTTCATCACTAATCTTGGAGCCTCCAGATTCCACAACCACCTCTGACTCCCCTGATGGTCACCACCCCCTCAATCCAATATATTACCTACGCCTCGCTAAGTATGGAGCCCCAAAGGCCTCCAGACAGCTCTGATGTCTGCTAGTGCACTCCCACCTCTGCTGGGCAATTTAGTTGCTTGCCCTGCAAGCCTACCTTCGGGCTGATCCCTCCTTTCCATTTCTGGGTTATAGCCATCAATCCACTAAACCCGTAACCCAACTCATTGGTAATATTCAGTCAGCTAACATGTGACCCCATTAGCTCGGCTCCACTTGGTCCCATCATTCATGGGCCTGCCCCCCATGTAACTATATATACATACTGTACTAACATGACCAACAACCTGTCACACATCACACGAAGGTCTTGGATTGAATTAAAAATCAACAAAATTGAATTGATTTATGGCTCCGGTAACTCCTGGAGGCTGTGGGAAGAGGTTGTTGGTCGTGCCAGTACAGTGACTTGTAGATAGGTTACACCCTAGTGATAAAATCAACTAGAGTTATCCCCCTTCTAGTTCTCGTTGCCAGCTAAGTAAATTTGGGCACAGACATGTAACTAGGCACAGCACTCTTGGTCTAAGTCGCTGAGGCCGAAGCCCTCCACCATGGGGACGTCTCCCTCATCCTGCATCCAGTCTCTGACACATTCGACTCTCCTCATCCATAGCTTTCTAATGATACCAATTGTGTGAAATTTGGTGGAGATTTGACTGAGAATGGGAATTCTCAGGCATGGAATACTCTCAGGGATGCATCCAGGGTTGAAGGGGCCCAGATGTATTGCCCAGTGCTGAGGCCTTCACAGGGTGCAGAATGGGCATGCGTACTGATGGGCCCGACATGGGACAATGGTCCCTGGCCACTTAGAGTGAAGTGGGAATGTTGAGAAGAAGGTTACTTCTTCGGTTCCCACTCCAGGTGTGTTTATATACATGCAGCTTGGGTCACATGAGGTCTGCCACATCACCCCACATACAGCTGCAGTCACCTGGGTGTCCCCATGGGGGATCCCAAGGGCATATGCTGCACACATGCATACTGTCATATCCGTACATACCTGATCCCGAACCGACTCCTGGACCCCCATCTTCACCACCTCCAGAGTCCTACCCTACCACCATCCATTCCAATATTCACCTTCGGACCTGACACCACACCTCCCCTCACCCCTCATGCCACCTCCACCCTTCTGTCCTTCTCCTACCTTATCCTCATCCGCTCCGATACTCACCTCAGACCGAACACCACTCCTCTCACCACCCTCCTCCTCACACTCCTCCTCTTCCTCCTCATGACACCTCCACCCTTCCATCACTCTCCTACCCTTCTCCCGTCTGCTCTGATACTCACCTTCAGACCTGACAACTTCCCTCTCCTCCACTCCTCTCCCTGTTCCTCTCTCTCCTCTCTCCTTCCTCTGACCCTCTCCTGCCAACCCTCCAGCAAGTTACGACCTTCCGCCACTGTCCTGTACCCTGTACTTGAACACCGCTTGTACCTTCGCTCCAAGATTCCATCATAGTTCCGACCTCGGACTTTGACTCCACCTCAGCTTAAGTCCATTGCATTGGTGACCTCATACTACGTAAACACCATTGCCAATATTCCTCGGATGTTCATCCCCACCTCTGTAACCTCCATAAGCTCCATAACCCCCAAGCTCCACGGATCATACTTGGCACTTTTGCCGCTTGTAATGTATCTTTCATGTTTTCCCCTCATCCCTATTTGGACTGCTGCTTCTTCCCATTCTAGCCAGTTAGTCATCATCCCCACTTCACCTCA